AGTGAAAATGGATTCACATGTAATGCTTGAAAACATGTCAGCAAAAATAAATTAAGTGAAATTCTACGTGACTTCATAAGAGTTGGAAATGAACAAACTACACCCGACCCTACCACTCCATACACAATGTAAACACACCACAAAACATCCTTTCACCCACGGTCAGTGTTTCACCAGTGTATTCTATTTGACTTCAGGAGAAATTGAAATAAACAAATTAATTATAATCTAGTTGAGCACTGATTAAATAAACTACCTCGTTTTTATGTCAACTTGAAGTTTTTCATTGCCTACATCAGTGACTTCAAAATATATGTTTCAATCCCAGGAATTTCACTTGCTGTTAATTGCAGGGGGGTGCCAGTCTTTCATGAATTTCTATTGTCATGTCAATTTCTTGCGATTACTCGGAACATGAAGTTGTAACCACAGACCGTCTAGGTGCTGTAACTAAAACCTGGTCTAAGCACCTGTTGGGCAGTCTTGAACTATGCATGTGAAGCCACCTCAGAGGTCTAATATTCAATCCTATAGATTTCTCATTGTTTGGTAACTATTTGCTGCAAATGCAACAAAAATCAATATAAAAATATGACCCACACAGCATTCTACAGGTTACTTGTTTACTGTATATTTGGATCATCGTACATTACAATGCTTCAAAACTAACAACTTACTGCCATCTGTCATGAACGAACTTTGTTTTGAGTTGTAGACTGTATTTGTAAATATCGGTAGTGTAAATCAAGGATTTGTGTTTAAAACAGTAGTAATGTAATGAATAGACGGTATATTAAAATGTTTATACTATTTACATACATGCAGTGACATACAATTTTAAACTAGATTTAGGAAAAATGGATAATGGATAAATAAGACACAGAATAAAACATAAATGCGTTCGCCACAGGCAGAGAAATGTTAAAGTGGTTTCAGTAATGTGATTTACCCTTCAGATCTAACTGCGACCACACCCAAACCACACCCAATATGTGTTCTTTTTAATCAGACGCATTTTTATCAAAATGAACGAAAACAACTGGACATACACACATACAAAAATGCGTTACGTGTTCACAAAAAGCATTGAATGTTGAATGTTCTCAGACGCCGATTCGTTAATAAATAACTGATAAACGTAGTGTGAAAGTCTCATCTGAAATAAACAATAATTGTGAGAGCTATTCAGATTTGAAATTCCCTGGCACACTGAAAAGATAATAATTTGCATAACTAGTCGCTCAAAAAGAAGTTTGCTAATGCTCATAAGTAAAATGGCTGTAACAGTCCCAAATTTAAACCTATTATCGTTTTGTAAAAATTTAAAAAATATAGTGCATAATATGGATATTCCGTCATTTAATTGTTTCACCTTGTTTCTTTTGATTATTTATGTACAGCTAAATCTTGCTAAGCATTCAAAAGAGAGAATGTTTGTACCCGTTTTCTATATTTTAAAATCGTCTTTTGAGTATGTTCCACTATTCACATTGCTGAGAAACTTTAACAGTCTATAGCCAAGACTGTTTGAATAATAAAAAACAACACAAAAAAATACTCCCAAGTCCCCAAGAACCTGCATCTATACTTTAAGAATGGGTGCATGAATGCATCACTCACAGGCAAGACAAGAAGTGTTATTGAAAAAAACTGTTTACTTCATCGAAGATTGGACAGTTGAACGAAGACAGAGTATGATAGCGAAACATCATGACTGGGTAACAAACCTGTGATTGGTTTGACGACAGACATTGTCATCAGTAACTGGAAGCAGAACACAGCTACCAACAGCTTCATGACTACACTGACGTAGGATCCTATACAAAATATAAAAATATGTCATGAAAATGAAAACACTATTTGAACAGTCGGCATGATGTGGTTATGCCATGTAAAAAATAAAAAAGAATAAAAATGGCAGTCCCGTTAATGTGTAGAGTTAGCTGCTACTATGCCAAATTAATCCAGTTATACAATAAACCATTTGTAGAGTTTGTAATTGCGTTTATAATTGCATGTTTGATCAATTTCTCACGTTTCCTACCTGCTCCTTGAGATCAATTAACAGTTCAGGAACATCTATGAATGTATGTTGCCGTCTGTGCAATCAAGAGAGCAGATTGCCTGATCATTACGTCGACCAAAAGCAGTATATGTAAATGGCCATTTGGGCGTTTCCTGCACAATTAATTTACACCAAGTTGTGGGTCCCTTTCATGCAACAACATTAAATGACAGCATGGAGGCTTGATCTGAAGGATATAATGTCTTTAATGCGCACCATCTATCACATAACCATGCGTTACATGCGATACGATACAATTAACTGAAAAGATATACAAAGAAATCACTAAATACAGTACTTGATTATTCTTTAAATACAAACATAAATATCCATACATAGGCATGTACATGTACAAGTCACATAAGAAAATACAATCCAATAAAATATATTATATTATAGCATTGTCAATACCAGAGAAGTTTATGACGTCATTGCCACAGATTATTCGTGATAATGTATTGCATCATTGAGCATCAAGGCCCCGTACCATGCATGTGAATAGAATGTTGAGTTCGGAAAACAAATAAAGAGACAGGCATTTAATAATAAGGGGAATTATGGGTTGAAACCGAATAACTCTGAGCTATATGACAAATAATTATTTGCTCTCAGTTTACATGAAAAATATCATTCCCGCCATAAAGACAAACACAAATCGGCGTCTGGCTGATCCCGACTTCGCGAGAAACACGCGGTACCGACACCCAATGCGTAAATAAAAGTAGCTCACCAACACGATGGCCCGTTTTATCGATGTCGACGAATGTACTCGAAAATGCAAGAAATGAAAAAAAATACTTCACAGTGGACTAAATGGGGAGTACGTGTTTTCTTCGTAGAATGGCTTGAGTGCAAGGGGCATGCGCCACCAATTTTGAAGACCTTCTTGTCGTTGAGCTCGTTGACTTACTGAGGGAATTTTACGCTTCTGTAATACAGCAAGCCGTCGCTTTCTGGTTTACGAGCTTCAATCCATCACTGGTCCTCTCGATCATCACAAAATTAACATCATGTAGGATGGGAGTTCCAAGTTTGTCTAATTTTTGTGTACGTGTTATGTTGAAATGACCGTTGCATACTGTATTGTGTTTGTGTGTATGTGTGAATGGGAATCGTTGCTTAAACGCGTTGACGTTATATACAGTATACAGATTCGAATGCCCATATAATATAGACGCGATTCTGTTGAATTTTTTCGGTCGTTTCTTTCAAATTAACTTAGTTTTAACTTGTAAAAATCACTGGCATTGCCAATGCAACAAAATAATAACAATAATGTACTGCCCGCCGGCTCATAATGAGCTCAAGCACATTTTGCACTCCATAATGTCGTTCTATAGTCCCATAGAACATAACAAATACACTATTTCTGAAGATATGGAATTACAAAGCTGTGCATAAATCAGTAAATCAGAGAGATAAATACAGCAACTACTCTCACTAGAAAATCAGAGGGATAAATACAGCAAAGGATCAGGTCAAGCAAAAGCATAATCGAAATCTACCAAAGGAGCGCTCTGCCGCAAACCAACATTAAGAAATTTGCTCTCAGCACCAAGTAGTACTTACTCAACACAATTGAAGTGCCACACGTACATCCAAACATATGGACGATGCTGGATGAACATATGGCTATAAAAAAAACGAATGGTACTTTCGATCATGTCTAGATGAACGAGAAATGTTTACATTTTCAAACTGTTTTTCTCCACCAATACACGTACTATGATCACATTGACATATTTTGAAATTGTAACTGGATATAATAATACATTAAATTTTTGCGTATTCTATTTATATGAGTTAATTAAAATATTCTATGAACATTCGTGCAATGTGGGAATGAATTTCAGAATGCATTTCATGGGAAGAAAATATATATTTTTATTATGAAATAATAGGCGTCAATATAGAGCAATTTGGAGCGCATTGTGGCTCAGTTCGACGATACAAAGATCATGAGCAACACTCGCAGGCGCAGACAAATGACACAAATTTACCCAAATTTCTTGTATTCAGAAAGTAACTCCATGATTTTCGTAAATGGAGCTATTCATTTTTTTAAACTTTTTAAAGAAGTATGGATTCTCTTTCCTGGTCTCTCCAAAGGCCTCATTATAGAGAAAAACGAACTTTCGGTATGATTTTGAAGAATTCGTGTAGACTTCCATTTTCGAAATCTTGGATTACTTGCTTTTCAAGTAGAAAGTGCACAGTCAAACATATGGTGTAAAGTTATGCAAAATGTGCGTTCGTATACTAATACAGTGTGGAGGTTACAGAGAAATACTACATTGGAACTAGAACAAATACAAAAGAAAAACAAATATTACGAACATGTAAATTGTTTTACGTACTCACTTGTACGTACACATGATGCTGCATCGCCGAGTTGAGCAAAAACATAAGGTGAAGCCACATATCGAGAGTCAAGTCGTCGTGACTTGCTAAATGTCACCTGTTATCATGAAACTTCAAAGCGCTAAATGTCCAAGTATGCTTTTTTTCAAAACCGATCGGGTTTCGTTAACATTTTATTAAATCGGTATTTCTACACCCCATATGCAAATGAGGTCTGAGAGCAAACAAAGTAGTCAATTCAGAGTACCATTGGCATTATTTAAACACATTTTCGTGTGTTATTGTTATCCGGTTCAAATTGTTCAGCAACATGTTTGGCATATTAAGTGTACATCACATGGAATTCTACGATTGAGAGAACTAAATGTATGTTGACCACTAGGAAAGTGAGCTTTGTAAAATCAGCGATTGCTACGGAGCTATCCATTCCATCCGGTTTGTTGTACGTTCTTTCTTAAATATGAATTATCCGTTTAAAATTCCATATACGTTAAATTGTTACGGAATCATCTTTATTAAATCATTTTGAATACTAACAAAAATAGTTTTTTTCAAAATAGAGAGATACAGGTACAACATTACAGGTGTCGCTCCTGTCAAGAATATACACCCATTCTCAATTGATAAAGTGATCATTTTCCGTTCATTGCGAGATTCCGCTTTATGCATGAAATCGAGCAAGACAGTCAATGGTCGTAACGTCGTAGTCACAGTCAGCTAGCGTACAGGCGATAATAAAATCAATTTATTGCTATTTACTATATGGGGGAAGGCATCTTGAAGACGACTTGAAACTAATTATAGAGACAATTTTAGAAACTGGTTTTTCAAATTCCTACAAACCAGAAAAAAAATAACAACTTTCACAGCCGAATTCACAATTCAGGAGCCAATCTACGACGACCTACGAATCTACATTTAAATGACGTGTTTAGCACCTTTTGTTCATATTTGTATTTTATACAATATGCCTAATTCGTTTGAGAAAACAAGAAGAGTTCATAGGTCAGGTGGTGTGACCTCATTCTTCTGCTAATACATGAATATCTAACCTGACAAGGTCGCCTGAGTTGCGCCCTCTGCGGTGCTCCAGTGGGGTCCGGTGCCGTTCGGCCAGCGAGGGCGCCACTCACGCCAACATGTCAGGCGAGTAAATATCTACAGATTGAACACAAATTTGAATCCCAGTTGTATGGTGATCACGGTCCCACACACATAATTCGGATATCCATTTAGGATTACCCCCCTCCCCCAAATAAGACAAGACGCTTCTCACGCTGCTTTTATTTAATTCTATATATCTATGTTCACACAACAGTTTGAATTGCTTTTGCTTTCACAGTAACTAGTGTCATGCTGCCGACTGTGTTCAACGCAAATGTAGAATAATTCACAATTCTCTACACATAAACAAGTTGTTCAGTTTTTTACCACAGCTAATTTTGATAATTTGACGAATAAACTGAACTGATTTAAATATTTAAAAATTAAGAATATTAACCACGCCCTCATTAAGTGAAACAGATGTTCACTTCATGCAATGCCATTTATTCTAAGAATATCTAGGTAAACACTGGCTTTTGCTATTCATTCAACACGCAACAGTGCTTTCATAAGAAACTGCTTCTGTTTGGTTTGGTTTATCTTAGTTTATCTGATATTAATACAATAAATAATTACCTCACAATGATACAGCCAAGATTAATAATTGCATCTTTGGTTCAGCAAGAATAGAAATAGGAACCTTGGTAATTATTTTTTTATGTCACTTATAATATATTAATAGTAATCCGAAGAAAGAAAGTGGTATCTAAACTGGAAGATGCACATGTTTGATCAATTCGTTTAATTTAACATCATCAGAGATTGCAATTGGAGGTTAGAAACCGTCAGGTCTTGGCAGAGAGAATGGTTCAGTGTAGGGAAAGGTTCGGGTCGTGGAGTTGGGGAGACTAAGACGAGGTGTGTCTAGTTAGAACACAGAGCAGCAACTGATTTAATCGTTAAAACGAAGCATCTATATACTGTTACATAATCGAAAGTAATATTTAAACAGAAACATAAAATATATTGATACAGTATATATTAACGAAAATGTGACGCGGCACGAACACTCTAAATAAATGAATAGCACAACTTGAACGAATCACAATTCGAATAATATGTACAATTATGAATATTAAAAACATAATACTATAAAAAATGAATATTATATAAGTCTATGGTTACATCTCAGGTTATTCTACAATGAAATTTGGATTTGCGGTCATTTACCTCATGATGTCCTAAGCATTTGAAACACAATCTGTCTCTTTTCACAATTGCATTACGTGTTAAGTCCGACAACGGTTTCACAAACGTGTGAGTGGGGCCTTTTGCAGTAGGCGAACTTGAAGGAGCTCATATGTTTAGCGACCGTAGATCTTGGAGATTTGTACCCAATATGAAACGATGTTATAGAGGGTATACACCTTTCATTGGAGAAATTGACATTGAAGTGTTCTATGGGGTTATCTGCTTGAATTTCTTCGTTGACCGCTTCCTTTAATTCGTGTAGTGACCACACTGTGTTGCCATGATTGCAGAAAATCTGGGTTTTAACGTTTGCCGGTAATTTCTTAAAAATGAATGGCACAAGTAAATCACCATACGAATCTTCACTTTCACCGATGTGAGTTTGGAGATTGTCATAAGAGTTCGTCATGCTGGATAACGTATTATCTGGTGGCGGTAGTTCCCACAATGCCTTCTTGTAGCTTGAAATAATTTCGTGTTGTTGACCATACCGTTGTTTCAAGATAGCTTACGCTTCTGAATAGTTGTCATTGGTCAACTGGAAGCCCTCGATCGTTCATGCGTCACCTCCTAGCTGAGCAATCAAGTATTGAAATTTCTGGACGTCTTCTAAGTTAAGGTTCTTATCTAGTGACGATGTGAATATGTCAAAGAACGTAGTCCATTTTAGAATGTTACCTTCAACTATTGGTAACTGCAGTTTGGGGAGGTTGATCGTCCATCTTGTTGTAGACGATGTCATGGAGGTATCATGCGTTGAGCTTACTTCGGGTATCGATCTCTGCTGAGTGTTTCTCTCTATGAAGTTTTCGTAACGTGTAACATGTTCGTTGATAATTATAACATAATCATCCGCTTCTTCAAAGTACTGTGTATTCGTCTTCGTTTTCAATTTCTTCAATTATTATTTCGTCGCATTCCTGGATGGTTTCTATGAGTTTCTTGATGTCTCGAATTTTTGTCACAATTACGTTTTTGATAGACGCAAGAAGTTTTTTTTTCTCATAATCTCTTCAGCTTTGTTGAGTTGCTTGGACATTTGGTCTGTGTTGTTCTTCTGTTTCGGTAGGCATGTCGAATGTGTCTTAGTCTTGACTGGGGACTCGGGTCGTGGAGTAGGGGAGACTAAAATGAGGCGTGCCTAATTAGAACACAGAGCAGCAACTGATTTAATCGTTGAAATTAGGCATATATTTATACTGTTACATGTCAATATTTGTGCAAACAGAAATTGTAGGGTATCAGGATGTTGCATAATACTTAAGTCGTAGAGACTACATATGGTTAGCCATCCGTTCTTCTTATCTATGCCGTCAAAGACGTAACAATTGAGTATTATACTTAACTTAAGTCAGTCTATATGAAAATGGGGGATGTGGGGTGCACTAAGTAAATGAGATTTCGTACCTGTGGACAGGTAGTCGACTATGTATACTTTAAAGGCATTGATGGATACGAGACATTCATAACTACATTTAATACCCGTTTTTTCCAAAACTGGCTAAAAATGCAAAACTGGCCATTTATTCAATTTTTTTATTCGGTAATGCTTGAATTATTTTCATAAGAAGTAAATGCGTGTAGTATCCATGAAAATTCATTACAGCTATACAACTGTTTAATTTGTAGTCACCATTTGACGAAATGGAGTCTTATGTTATGGGTAGGGTGCGAGTGTGCCTGCACGTGAATGCCTCCATGTATATGTATGGGGGTGTGTGTTCCATGAAAAGTAAAGACAGTACTTTACATTTCTACTATATGACTTCACAAGTAATGCTTCATACATTTTTAACAGTTCTTTTTCGTTTTGGAAGAATGAATAAAAATAACGACAATAAAAACATCAGGATTCTAAGCAAATAATAACATGCACTATCACATGTGTTTATCACAATAACTCAGTGATTTCCATTCAATCATTCAAATTACCAGAATATGTGGACCATTTTCCATGTGGTATACTTGTCAGTCATTTGTTTTCTATTCTAAGACATTTATGATTGAATTTAGCACACCATCATGTTGTTATTTCTACTCTCAACTGGAACAACCCACAGCTGTTATTTTCAGATATTAGTTATTGCTTGGTATATTACACTACTAGTTCTACTACTTCTATTTTGAAGTGACATTACCTGAGTGAGAGTATACTGACTAATTGTGTAGGGTGTAAGTAAATGTTGGTATTGAAATGACCAATGTTTTCCTTGTTCAGCACACCATGTTGTTCTGTGTAAAAAACACACAACCTAGTTTCAATGTATAACGAGTCTCTTATTAAAACGGTTAAGAGCATTTGAAAAAGTCGAAATATTAATTGGACAGCATGTGCTCTCTTTTTTTTTCAATCCGCTTGACATCACCTCTTCGTTGGTTTGTGTTTTCCGTTTGTCGCCATTGTTTTTCTGGAATTATAAATTTCCTTGCGATTTTTTATTTTATTGCTTATTAATCTATTAGCATTTCATTTTTTCCCCAACACACATTGTGGCCTGCATATAGATAGTTTTTATCAAAATAATCAAGGTTTGGACTGTGTATGATTTGTCACTATAAAACAGGAAAATATGAGATGCGATTGAAAGAATGTAGGCGATTGAACAACACATTACCTATCGGACTGTCATCATCTCTGAAATATAATCAGTCTGTGTTCATACAGGTCTAATGTGATCATTTCTTTTATTCGATTTGTAGTCAATAACATTAGGCAATTAGATCACATTAAATACATAAATAAAATAACTGCATTGTTACAGAATGAACACAAATAAATAATATGTAAAATATTTGTAATACAACTGAGATCATGTCCTCTAAACATCACAGGCCTTGTGCACACTGGCTCCAGGAAATATCAATTAAGTGGGAGTAATGCTAAGTGGTATATTAAGTATTATTTTTGTTTAAATAAATACACCTATTAGGCATATTATAAAGTAAACTGATATGATTATGTTATTCTAAAATGATTATACTAGGCCAGACCAAAATAAAAATTTCTGCACGGATTTTTGAACTAAAAAATTCAAGGGTGGCGAGCAAACTTTGTTGCCTTTTCGTACATTTTTTTTAACAATAACCTTGGTGGTCAAAAAACACGTTTTTATTAAAGTATGTTAACTTTTGGCGAAAATGATTGTCATCATTTCTGAAATAGAATCATTCCGTGTTCATACATGTTTAATGTGATCATTTCTTTCATTCGATCCTATAGTCAGTAACATTAGGAAATTAGATAACATTAAATACATAAATATAATAACTGCATTGTAACACAATGAACACAAATAAATAGATGTTAATAATATATGAAATTACTTGTAATACAACTGAGATCATGTCCACTGAACATCACAGGCCTGTGCACACTGGCTCCAGGAAATATCAGTTAAGTGGGATTATTGCTCAGTGGTATATTAAGTATTATTTATTAAGTATTATTTATTGTTTAAATAGATACACTTAAAACTAACATTTCTGTGTATAACTAAAACAACGAGATGTGGCTGCTCCTATTCTATTCCTCGTCCAAAACAATAAGTACAAGTTAAAGCATTCTCTAATAAATCATTTGTCACTGAACTAAATAACTTCCTTACAGTAAACGCTAACGCTAAACAAACACTTTTTTGAACAGCAATGTCAAATTCAGTGCATGACAGAAGTAACCTTGGCAGAACCAAGTGTTACACGTAGTTTGTAAAATGTCATATGTGAACTTTATTTTGAAAATGAATCAGTTATAATAGCGTGCAATGTCAAGGCCTTCCGTAAAAAAAATAATGCATTTTTCGCGGAGGCTCTATGTAGCTCAACTTTTGTTGGATGTTTTCCAAAAGTATCGCATAATTGTCGCTTGAATCATGTTTCGGTTCGTATGTTTCAGTTATTTTCCAGGATTGAAACGTAAATCAATGATAGCAATCCGGTTCTCAACATAATTCACAGTAGAATATTATCTCAGTATAGCATTCATTATAGAAAATACACATTTAAAACAAATACCCAAATAAGTGTTACTTGACACTATCGGTCTTTCTGACCATAGAATCTAGACTGCAGGTTTGCCTAATTTCAATTTAACAGCATAATCTATGAAGATTAATGTAAATAAATGAGACGTATTAGTCAGATCACTGTGTTTCGCTGAATAAATGAATTATTCTATTATAATGTCCCATTCATGCTAAAAACTGTGAAGATATTCAAACTGTAAACTGGAGCCTATTTTTTCTAATCGGGCTGCTTGGCCGCCTTGATCTCGTTCGACGCCTTGAAATTGTTTTTTATTTTACTTTCTTTTTTATTTGTAGCTTTTTCCATCTTTTCATAGTGTTTTCTTCTGTAGTAATATACACCAATACATCCGGCGATCAGTATAGCAACTATAATCACCGGCATTACAATCTTGGTCGAAGTACCTAGAATTTGGCAAAAAAATTCTAGTGAAATTTACTTGAATCTAGGTAAAACTGTCTCATGTATTACTTCCTATTCGTGAATAAGGGATGCTTTGTATTGGACTTAACCTACCTGATCCGCTGTTTTCAGAAGAAATGAAACCATGTTCGACTTTGGAGGTACCAGTAGTAGAAAAGTCCTGGTCATCTGTAATTAAAGATACATTTGAACTAGAACCAATAAATGTACATTTAAGTGGCCTTTGAAAAAATGTTTATATACAGTTTTTTATATTGTACTTGTGCAGTGAAAATTATTCTCTGGAAATTAAACGGAAAACAAAATAATAAATAACAGCGAAGCAAACCGAAAACAATACTTAAAACCTAAATACAGAATATTTGTTTTTATGGCCAGTTTTCATGGACTTTATTTTGATTTTCCCAACTTACCTATCGTCTGAGGAGACCCCATATAATCTGAAATGAATGAAAATATAGTTGAATTAAAAGTATCCCTTAATTGTGTAGTCCTTGATTCACATCTGCAAATGTAATCCACGTGACTCGCCCAAATCACGTCGGTATGGTTGTCCATCGTCGTCGTTTTTTTATCTTCTACTTGAAAATCATCTGATTTCTTTGATACTTGGTGTAGACTACTCTTGAATTGTTCATTTCATAATGATATCTCGCATTCTCCAATTTTGAAAAAATTATGTCTTTTTTGGTAAAACGTAATATTTTTGAATTCTTGATGAAAACCGCAAATCCGATTGCTTGGATATTATACATATAGGTGCCTCAGCTTGAGCGCTCTCATATTTGTTCATTTATATTTGAGAATTCAATTGTTGGTAAAAAGTGATATTTTCGACTTCGTCTTGAAAAATCCTGTTGTGTATTTTTTTGTATAAGTTGATAATTCATGTGGTAATATTTAAGATATGTTCAAATTGCTTGTGAGATGAGAATTCCTGACAAAGTCATAAGTAGTAGAAGTTTCGAATCTGCATATGTTATTTCGTCTATTAAATTTCATTATGCAAAGAAATATCTATAAACCAAATATTCACTGGAACTTTAGACATTAGTGAAAACTACAATAACTTCTCTCGAAATATTCAATCATTACATTTCAAGGAAAGATCTGTAAATCAACATTGTTATGTCTCGTCGCAATAGCTTCCAAATTTTAATTATAGTTGTCATGGACATTGAAACAAGACAGCCGATAATTTCAATAATGAACTTGGCAGAACTTGGTATTTCATTACATGTTGTTGTTGTAATATCCAATTGTGTGCTCAGTGTGATATTTGTAATGCAACGATGCTGTTTCTTACTTTAAATTTTAACTTACTAATTGAAGATACACTGAGTCGAAAGTTTGAGATTGTAACAGTGAAAGAGCAAAATGCAACAGTCGTTGAGAAGCTGTTCCTAACGCCCGGGTTTGAAAAATGTTATCTCTGGTCTGTAGCATGAACGGTTGCCAAAACTATTTTGTATTCATTACTTCCACTGTCATGAACTATGCATTCTGTCAGATTTGAGTGGGCATTAATAAAGTTGTGTTACACGTGCTTTTTTCAACTTAGTTGTGTTCTATTGTTGTGCTTACTTCACAAAACGGGGTTATCCGCGTAATGTTACTGGGAAAGCATTGGCCAAGGTTATGTCAATGTCTAGATCAGATCGATTGTATTGGTTCTACGGTTTCCCGCGGCAATCACGATCGTTTAATTTTGGCACTTACATACCATCCTTTAAATGTCAAGATTAAAATCATTATGTACAAACATTTTTACATTTTACAAACCAGCGAGGAGACTAGTTCCACGTTTCCACAAATGCCTACTACCGCCTGGCGCCGTGACACTAATTTAAGGGGGTTATTGGTACATACGGGTGAAAGGGGAGACCCAGAGAAATATGGTTCTCTCCCGTGTAATCGACCCAGATGTAATACTTGTCCTTGTATTACAGACTCAGGTCCCAAGGGATATGTTGAGGTTAAATATGCTTTCAGCTGTATTACCATAAATGTTGTATATTGCATTTCATGTAACACATGAGGAAACTTTATATTGGTTCTACAGTTCGTCGATTGGGTGATCGGTTTACTGGGCATCTACGACAAACAAGACAGAAATGTTTTTATCCGGTTTCATTTCATTTTAATTCTAGTGAACATAACATTACAGATATGTTTATTTCTGGTGCATGTGTTGTCAATGGCAACGAGAATCAGCTCAGGCGTGTCGAAGAGGAAACTATATTCCGCCTTGAAACTAAAGAACCCCATGGAATTAACAAACAGTTCAACTCATTTGTTGAGCTTACTACCTAAGGCGTGTTATATGTTCTATTGTGGAATCTTTTAGTGATTCTATTTTATAGTACTTGCGCGTTCTTACGTTCCTATGTTCTACCTGTACGTTTAAACATGTTCTTCTATGCTATCGATAAAAAGCCATTGCTCGAAACGTCTAGTTATTTTTATTAGTTATTAAGGACTACGATTACCAAATATTATCTTCTACATATCATATTTATCAGTCCGAGTAGCGTTTATCAATTTATATGTTCTATTGTAAAATTGTACCTGTTACAATTTCGTATTCAACTAATAGCTTCTAGTGTGTTTAATATCCAATATTGAATGAAGAAACATTACTAAATTCATTCACTTACACTCTGCCAAAACAATTTGGTGTTAGCATTGACAATAAAAAATGGATGGAGGGCTGCATAAACAAGTGTATACAATACCTTGAAGAGGAAGATCGACATATGCAATGCTGACAATATGAATCTGGTCCCCATTTGATAATTCTGACATTCCCGGAACCAAGGCACCATAATTGCCATCCTCATCAACAGCCAAGTCAGTGATTGGTAGAACGAATAGGTCATTGTCGAGTGTCTTCCACATACCGTCAGTATGAATAATGAGTGTACTATCTTCACTAATCCCAATTATATCAAAACTGTTTGGAATTAAGGTAAGTTTTGCAATGTGCATGCCAATAGGAATTGTTAGATCCCATTCAGCATTTATACTTGATCTAATGAGCAACACATCTTCGATACTGGCTGCTATTATTTCACCATCAGGTAACACGTCCACACTTACAATGCAGCAGCTATCTGTATAACTTCGAATCCAACTACCTTCCACTAAATTTGATTTAACATATAACCTATTGTCCTTTTGAACGCCTACAAGTGTTTTGTCAGGTAGACTAGCAATGTCTATCACACAGCATGAGCCATGAATTGGGCCATGGTATTGATATGCATGGTCACCCATTGAGACTCCAGTATATAGATAACCATCCTTCCCAACAGCAATCACGTTGCATTGATCCAATTCTCCTGTTATATAGTGACTTGCCGAATGTGGTGCACCAGGCATAGCAACAGCAGTGTCAGGATCTTGTAGAAATTTATAATAGAATTTATGACAATTTATTGTAAGTAAGTAATATTTTTTTGATTTTTCTAAAATGTAAATTATCATAGAGAAATATATGCATAGAGAAAAAGTTTCATTTTATATATGTATCACTGTTTACCTGTTGCTGGGTATATTCTGTCAAAGCTTGAAGTGGAGCTAGACTTAGCAGATCCGTCGGAGATTCCAGTAGAACCAGAGTCAACAGATCCATCTGAATTATCAGAGTTGCTCGACCCGTCAGAGATGCCAGATCCTTCAGAACTATCCATACCAGTAGAACTATCTGGCAATTTACCATAGCATATTGCTTGAAATAAAAGGTCATCATGCAATATTGGATCAAGAGAACCCGATGGTAACACCATAGCATCTTTAACAATGACATTGAATTCTGCATCTTGCCAAAAGGGTACACTACCACTTGGCATTACTATAACACCATGTGCATCCACTGCTAATATAATTTGTTGTCCTTCATTGAATGCGATTACCTTTTGCACGAATCCACTGTCTGCAACAGGGCCATTCCAAACACCATCCAATGTATCTTTTGTATACAGATATTTATCGATTCCGACACCAATTATGAAGTTGCCTGTAATATCTACACTAATGACACAGCAAGAGTTTGGTACTATCTCAGTCCATCCTTGATCGTCCATTGTATACTTTAGCACCATGACACTCATGACAACAATATCGATAATACCATTGGTATATGGAACAAGGGACACAGAGCCACGTCGATCACGTGTGTACAAATTGTTGTCATTACCAACGAGAAGTGTTGTTTTTTCTAAGAAAGAAATGGAAAATAGAGAATATTCACATGAGAATTACAATATTCTTATGGCTTTAATTTTGTGACTTTAGAGTTTAAGTGGGTATTACTCAAAAAATCACAGAAAAGATAAATAGAATTGCTCTTGATGATAATTAGGACTTTTTTGATGTAGCGTCCCCAGATTAAGAAACACAGAAACACAATGTATGATCGGTTTTAAACTGCAGCCCCAAATCACCAATGTTGTTTCTGTTGCCCTGGAAACCATAAAACTAGGACAAATGAACCTCAACAAATTAGAAAGGTGACAAATATATGTGCAAGCTAGATGAAAATAACATTGTGATGACAAAATCAAACCAGAGCCTTTATGACTGCACCATGTTGTCTGCATGGATGATAAGAAAGTACGGGTATATAAAAAAAACACTAAACATATTACCAAAACCCAATCAAGTTGTGTAAATGTGAAGTGAATTATGTTGCATTGTACACCAGTAATACAAACTGGCATACCGACAGAAACACTTCCACTGATGGAAAACAATATATCAGAAGGGATCCGACTCCCCCAAAACACATTATAAATTATTGTCAAAATAAAATGTAAAAATAAATGTGTTATTGTCCTACCAATGGTACCTACACATAAAATATAAAATATCATGTTAAATAACGTTGTGATTTCATTATTATTATTGGATTACATTGTTTATGATGAAGCAAAAATATTTTCTGATTGATTTAAAAGTCGCTGTTCAAAGGTCAAATAAAATGAATTATATGACAAAGGGTATGCTGGTGTATAGTGTTATGTTCTATAAAGATAGCCTCACTATAAAGATTGGGTGCGTGCTTGCTGTCATGGAATGTATCTTACCCAATAAACACACTTTACCAGGACAGAATATCAGAAGTAATTAGTTTATGCTTATCGCGTCGTCTGTCATATAATGAAAGCGACCAAGTGAATCTCAACTCACTTATTTTATATATGTGTTCAATAATTGTTAACTAGGGATTTTCGACAATTTCAATTATATTTACTTTGAAATGTTGTTGTATATTGTGTGTGTACTGACAAAAAGAACAAGATCAGTACATTTCTCAGTCTGAAGTATTAAACGATTATATGGGTGTATCCCGATGCTATATTTGAAATTCCAGAACACTTAACTTTAATGTGCGTGAGTAAACTATATGAAGGGTCTATCTTTTTTTATCGAAATGGCGCGCTAGAAAAACAATCATATGTTTCACTAAAACATTATAAGAAGACACAATTGGATATTAGAACTGTATATGTGGAAAACACAAATTCCAAAGCCGTGCTAAGTGTTCTAGAACTCCTTATATGGAGTTGGGGATACACTTATATAATAGTTTAAAACACAGCCGAAAATATGCATAATATTTGAGTATGTTTGTCTCTAGAATGATCTTATCAAATGCGTCTTCCGAAGGCATACACATGACATATCACTAGCCATTTAACTTTTAACAATTTAACAACATATCATACACACTGTTATAATCACCAGATGTGTGATATGAATTTGCTTTACAATTGTAGGGTACATTTTAGCACAAAATACCCACGAAATCAGATCACATTAAAGTAACGTTAGTTCTTGGATCAAAGTTTATAATATGCATTTATCATATGAGATACTGTGTTGGGTAACAAAACAATGAATTGGGACATTAATCATATTTATGGAACACAATGCACCAGCTGACAGTTTACCAGTATGGTAAGGTACTTTAACCTTTTGAAGACATTTCCATCAATAAAATAAGTTTTTTTTTTGGAATACCATAGTTAATTGATTTCATAAACAAAAAGTTGATGTATTTGTGAATATATCAACATTACATATTTAGCCTTCTTTAAACCCATTGTTAAACAATATATTGACGTATTCTATCACTGGGTCTGTAATGTAGATGTCATTTCTCGGAGTATTACATAACATAATGACTATCCTAAGTATGGAGATGACAAAACTTTAGTTTTCAATAACCCAGTTTGTATTACAAGCTATCGTGATACAGTAGTGGTTCTGTGAAGTGATAAAAAAATAAAATAAATAAAATAAGCAAAAACATAATTGTTTATATTTACCATAATTTGTACTGCTAGATTCTTCATTAGACTGTGATGGTTCTGATAGTTGTGATGATGTTTGTTGTCCAATGTAACATACAGCAATCACACAAATATCCGCTATTACTGGAACAATATTTTCTGAATCGATAAATGAAATATCTACCATAACGTTGCTACCAAAATCAACTCCAGTATCAATCCAGGAACCAGTAGGTTGATCAAAATACAGGAGACTGTTTGGTGTAAGTCCGAAAAGCATTGTGGTGGCGGTTATTTGTATAACCTGCTCCGCGTACCCATAGGCCGCAAGCGACCACGATGATTGGACCCCATTTCGCACTCTCAACTGGTTATTTGCTGTTACACCAAAAATGAGTTCCTGTTCACCTATACATGCACTAATCACACTAGCACTTCCTGGTATTGGGTTTGACCACATGCCATTTTCCAATGACATCATATGTACTAATTCATATCCAACTGTTACACCAATGAGCCATCCATCAGGGGACATGTCAACATCAATCAAAGGAACATAAGGTGTTAATGGTCCATTAAATGATTCCATTTCCAATGTTGTTTGATATAAATGATTATCAATATCTATTACTAATGTGTCAAAGCCATCTGCCACTGATGAACCAGTAGAACCTAAAACATGATGCAAATTCAATATTACAAGCTACGTAAACAACACCTGTTTTCTTGCGGTTTCCTAAATAATACGTATATGTCTTGTATATTTTAAATTCGTTTTTATCACGGATTGACGGTCTTGGGACGTCAGTCTATCCTTTCAATCATGGTCTAGAACTCATACTAAGAGGAAAATAATTCCTCACTTATTAACCTCAGGCCATGACATAAAAATGAAACTACAGATAGCTTTTTTGAGTCTTGGAATTGGAAGGCTGCATATGCTTAAATATTTTCCCAGTGATATAAATGTTATTTATTTTAGAAAAGTATTCGGTCATTCAGCTACATGAAAAATAACAATTTGATTGCTAAAAGCACCCAAAAGTACCTCAAATTAAGGTCATGTTTGGCGAACATTCAAGTTGGTGGCCAAACCATGTGGTCGATCAAAATAAAGTCTTTTTTCTTGTTAGAAGATATGGTTATCAATGCTATATGCCAAATATTCAGTTCATCGCTTAAAACACTCTTTAGAAGGAAATATTCTTTGAATAATTTTTGTCATTTTGGTCAAAAGTCCAAATGGTAGCTAAAACATTTGACGTAAATGCTACATGACAACAATCCAGCTGATTGTTTAAAAAGCATCCCTTAGAAACAATCCAATGGAGCATTATGTGGCATCAGTAAAAAAAATCTTGTGTAGAAGAAATCAAATATGGCAGTTAAACCACGTGATCACTCACAAAGAGCTTCACAGACTGAGGAGTATACATGGATGATAAAAACGACTTTCAGATCCATGTTTAGTTCTGAAGAAGTTTCTTTTTTAGTGATTTTTGCAATTTTGGGACGAAACAAGTTATGTAATCACAAATCGTTTTATTTGTGAAATAGGTAGCCATACAGCAATAATGTTACTACTGATTATGTTGTTTAGGGCAATAACCATTGTTTTGTTTTTTTGTTATTTTTTCTCTTTACACAATTTTGTTCCATATAGTTTCATTACATAGATTACAATAAACATTAATTACATCTTACAAAGCGAAAAAACAAGCAAACAAAAGTAATAGAAACAAAAGAAAACAAGAAAGGATAATTGCTAATGCACTGAAATGAAATGAAAAATGTTTACACACTATCAGAGATAATAGACCACTTCCGTAAATGTAATTCCAATTTGTTTTTAGATATAGCTACATGCTTTTCAATCCAGCATGTTTCAGTTACCGCCTTTCGAAAATATACATCACTCGGTATACTCTTACTCATTTTACATTTATCAATATATTGCTTCCCCCAAAGTACCAAATAATGTGCCAACACTGAAAAGTCAGTACAGCCTAAAGTTATCTGTTTGAGGGAAAGAGCATCTGGACCTAAGATATTTTTAAATACATCTCTAAGTGCAGACATTTGTTTGTATATTTACAATAATAATAAAAAAAAGTAGTTAAGTAAGTAGTTTCCGTTTCCTGGTGCCAGAACGAACAATTGGGACTACTGACCTTTGATGATTTGATTTCATTTTAAAAAGATCATAATTAGTGAACAATATTTTATGTAGTAACTTAAATTGAAATTCTTTTGATTTCGTGTCAATTGCTATCCTAAATGGTAAATCACAATATTTAGACATAGCAGCAAAGTCGAGTTTAAAATCTTAACTACTTGAATGAATAGTCTTTGCACAAAAAAAGTTATTTTTTATACAATTTGTATTAAGCACAGATACCGTTATATTCTCACCATCACTAAAAATATTTGGCACCGAATCGTACGAAAATCCTTGGATAAGATAGAAAACATGTGACCAAGCTTCCATCGTGTTTTTTGTAATTACATTAAAAACACAACTCAGAAAATATATTTCAAGTCTGGTTAGGTTATGTTTAGCGGATAAGACAGCAATACTAACGGGTGTGTTTTTTGGAAATAAATCACCAATGCAACTGATACCCTTATTGGCAATTGTAGGGAAAACACGGATTTGTTGTCAATTAGGATATCCTTGTTGTTCCAAATTATATGATATTATGTGATATTTGATTTTTAATATCTAAATTGTGAAGAGTAGAACAAGCTAACAAGGTTTCACGATACAATTCGGACAGGTTGATTTTCAAATATTCAAGTCCGTAGCTACAACTAAATATTAAGTTGCCTCCAACAGGCTTTAATTTGTTGAGGAATATTTTTTTTCCATGCATGGGTCACTGAAGGGTCAACGTACCTTTTCAACCACATTATACGAAATGTACCATACAGTGTAAAGATATCAGGGGCTTACAAGCCACCTTCTCCTATGTCTGAGATCTAAACATTGCGGGCAACCCGGTCATGGCCATGCCAAATAAAATTAAAACACTTTCTATTTACCTCAAGTAAAACTTTCTTTGATACAGAGACCATTCTCACACAATTACAACAGATACACAAATTTTGATATTGCAAAACTCTTCACAATCTGCATTCTACCAATTAAAGTTAAATTTCTTTGCTTCCACAGATTCAATGTTAACTGTAAATTTTCCATTGGCTTGGCATAATTCAAAGTAGCAGCCCGAAACATCATCGGAAACATAAACACCAACATTCTTGATTGGCTCATTGGGACATTTAATACCAAAAAGTGTGTCTTTTCGATTTTTCCACGGCCTAAGCCAAAGGGCTTCAGTTTTGTCTGTGTTTACTTTCAATCCTACTTTTTGGAAGCAATTCAAAAGCTTAAACAAATGATAGGTCATCAGCAATTGTTACATATGTTACAAGTTCCATCACCCAACTTAATACCTTGAATATTTGGATTTGCCCGCATGGAGATTAAAAACACTTCCAACGCCAGAATAAACAATGTAGGGGACAAAGAGTCCCGTTGTCTGACCCCCTTCTGAACTTTACAATAACCTGTGGTAAACCATTATTGATAATCGAACTTTCCACATTACAGTAATACGATTTCACCCAATGAATCAATGATGGTTATTTGCATTTAAATGATAATGTAATTATTGCTTCATTATTTATGGTCAAATTTGATGATTTGCATTACAAATATTATTTGAAATTATCCAGTATTAAATAATTTCATTAACCACATGAATGTTTCTTGAAGTGCGTGCAAGTTTGTTACAGCTATGCGTGTTCTATTCCAAAGTTCTACCCTGGCGTTAATCAATTTGATCATATATCAATACCAATATATCTATACGTTATTTATATTGTATATTTTGGGTAAAGAACCCATTCACAAGGTCGGTGACGGTACTTTTGCTACATTTTGGCCATTGTATTTCTGAATTTCGTTTGGAAATTCCACCGCACCATAGTACTTCACTGTATAATTCACCTTCTGTCATTTTGGTGATAGTGGTAGGATGATATCGCTCAATTAAAGTGACCATCTTTTTTTTTTAAAAAAAACTGTATTGCCAGTAGTGAAAACATAGTGTGTAATAACACCAATTACTTCTTGCGCCCCCTCTGAGATATTTTATACTCTTGGTCAATAGATATTCATTCCTCCATCTACTTATCTCCTTAATAATTAATATGAATTTCGATGTGACTAGAGTTAAACAGTTAGGGCAAGAGATTGGATTAGATGATAATGATTTGACAGACTTTACAAAAGAAGAAAGAAACAGGTGGATAAATGTGAAACGGGAAAGGGAAAAGAATGAACGAGAGGAAAAGCATAATAAATTTGAATTAACCAAGATAAGGGAAGAACGAAAATTAGCAAAGGAGAAATATAAAGACGCACAGTGCGAGAGAGAGGCACGTGAACGAGAGAAGGTAGCCCAGCGACAGTTTGAGTTTGACAAGTTCAAACTTTGGAAAGGGGAACATGAGGAAAGAGACGTGGGAGGTTCACCATAAATACAATGAGGGTATTGTTAAGGTTTCTAGTATGACTCTATTTAAAGAGGGAGATGACTTAGATGCATATTTAGAAAGATTTGAGATTTGTCATTGGCCAGCTGCTATGTGGGGAATTAACTTCGGGGCTTTGCTTTCGAAAAGGCACTCACAGTTTGCAGGACCCTTCCCAAAGACAGGTCAACCAATTATGAGGTTATGAAAAGTGCAGTACGCCCAACATGGGTGGTATCGAGTATGCCTGGGGTGGAGGGACTACCTAATGGTTGTAAAATAACAATTTTGTGTGATATTGGGTGTAACAGGGTTGTGGTTAAAAAGGCATTAGTCAAACTGAATCAACTTACTAAGAAGTCTCGTACATACATCTTGTTAGATGGGACATGTAGGCGAGCTCCTGTTGCAAAGTTGCATATAGACACCCCTTATTATAAAGGTGAGGTTACAGTCATCTGTATTAAATTTCGACTTTATGATTTAATTGTTGGAAATATTCATGGTGCTTTGGACCCTTACTCAACGGAAATTGAGAACCGTAGTATAGAATTGAGATTTCAAAGCTGTTGGGACTGAATGGTTGAAGAAGATGTTGGTTGCAACTGGACTGTCGTCTTGCCATCTTTAACAGACTTGACACAGGCAGTTCAGATTAGGGTACAGGTTAAATCATCAGAAAAGCCAATCCTTTACGAGTGTAAGAGTTTTCAAAGTTGCATGATAGAGGGACCAAAGAACTTGTCACTGTCATATTGGATAATGGTTTGTTTTATAGAGTCTTTTAGTCTCCTTTTTATAGATCGAGGTTGATAATTCAAACAGTTGGTTCTTCCAATGGTATACCAGGTTGAGGTGATGAAATAAGAAAACACTGTACAAAATATACACAATTGTACTGGCCAGTAATGCATGGATCTATCAAACGCTATTTGCCAGTCCTGTGATTTGTGTCAGCGGATATTTCCTAAAGGAAAAGCGGGTAAGGCGCCATTGGGTCCCCCCCTATATTGATACACCATTTAAGCGTGTCACAGTTGATCTTGTGGGGCCCTTTAATCCTGTCACTGACAGAACAAATCGGTATGTTCTAACTGTATTCGACTATGCTACCAGAGGCATGTCCACTTAAATATATAAGTACTGTAGCAGTGGCTGGGCCTTAGTAGACATTTATAGTCATGTAGGAATTCCTGATGAGATACTCTCTGAGTTGGGAACTCAATTTTTTTGTCTGACCTCATGAGAGAGAAATAAGTCGCCTTCTCCCGATTAAACGATGCCAGAAGTGGGTGGACAATATGGCCGACTTCCGCCTGTAGCCAGTGCTTCCCTGTCAATTAAATATCACATGATCTGCCATAGAGAATGCATTACATGAACATATATTAAACCAAAATTTAATTTTGAGTTTACATTTTTTTTCACTTGTGTGTGCTTTGTAATAGACAGATAAATGTTTCCATTAAAACTCCACCACCATGTATTTGCCATAACGTAGACGACTCTTCAGTTTGTTCGCTTCGTTTGTACTTGCTTGTTCAATAAATTCGACGACGTAACTGACGCAGTAGTAGACGCAGTATTCGCAGCCCAAAATAGCGTTGACATTCTTGAATTTTTTTACACAGATGTACGATACAGTTTTGGGCAAATATAACTGTTTTAATCCAATTAACAACAGGGAGTAACATGAAATAAGATTTACTGTAAAACATGTTTTTTTCGTGTAGCGAATTTAGCGAGAGAATTGAATCGCTAATTCAAGATGTCGCTAATGACTTTATTATAAATTCAAAATGGCCAAGGCTTGGGGATTTGTATACAGTAATCCGGTAATTAGGAATATAAAAATCTGGGCACTTCCTAATTACACGACGACAGTTTTTCTTTGTGTTTATGGAGGTAATAACTGCGCATTTGAT